TTCTCAGGCTGCTGGGCTCTGCTCTGCCTTGAGGCATCCTGCTTCTTCTCCCCCTGCCAGGGTATCAGGGGTTTATCTGCTCCTGTGGCACAAGCACAGCTGCTTTTTGCATTGTTTCGGCTGAGATTTATTTTTATGTTTTTTTTTTAACATTTCAAATGTATCGCACGTAACAGCTTTCTAATAAGACAGCTCGAGTTAATTGTATTTGCTTAGCTGTATCTACTTTTATTTTTAACTGTTCCTCAGCTCCTCGCTCCCTCTGTGTTCAGCTCTGTCTTGCTCCGTTTCACTTTTATCACAAAATCTTTAACCGAAGAATTGCTGTTTGGAAAGCCAAGGTGCCTGGTATGAGGTCTCACTGAAATCGAGTATGAACGTACGTTGCAGGAGGAGAAAAAGGTTTTTCTGGCAGAGTTATTCTTTATGAATTAAGGAAATCCTCCCCATCTTCCATGCATGCCTGCTAACAGTTAACAGGAGCACAACCGTATCTGACATCGAAGGCACGTTGTGTGAAAATGGTATTCTTTTTTTTTTTTCTTTTTTTTTCTTTTCCTCCCTTCACTTCATACAAGATTAAACTACTTGAAATTATTTAGCCTAGTATTTAATTATATTAAAGAAATAGTGTCGGAAAACAATTGTGAGTATTAAAGACATTTTTTGCCGTTGATGGTATTAGCATGTCAGCAGGTCTATACTAGCACAGCTCCGAAAGCCAAATTGCAGCTGTATTTTTACCTTTGCTGCCAGGTTTACACGCAGCTGGGTATCTACCACACCCTATTGTTATCAGTCAACAATACCAAAAAGTAGTTCATTAATCATATCAATAACAACAATCGTGTTTCATGTGGAAAATAGAAATAAACAACTTAAAAAAAAAAAAAAAAAAAAAGATTGATTTCTGCCCACTAACTTAGGGTTCTTTAAATATATCTGCCAGTAGTTTAATTCGAACTTCAACTCCCTGAAGGCAGTAAGACAGAATTATTTTAGTTCTTCATAAACTGCCTTCTGTGATTCATTGTTAACTCATAAAACACGCTCATTTTCATGTACTTAAACAGTTAAGCCATTTTTAAAGTTGGTTTGTAATTTTTTTTGGCAACACATTTAAGTTGACAAAGGCACGTTGTGTGAAAATGGTATTCTTTTTTTTTTTTCTTTTTTTTTCTTTTCCTCCCTTCACTTCATACAAGATTAAACTACTTGAAATTATTTAGCCTAGTATTTAATTATATTAATATCGCCGAAAATGGGGGAATGGAGATGATTAAATAGGACTAAATCATTTTCATCCCCGTGACCCTTGTCTGGGTTGTATGGAGGAGTGACAAATGCATCCCTGCTGGAGCTCCCTTGTCAAGTTAAAGGTGAACTTGGCCCAAGTTTGGGGAAGTTTTCCTTGGTCGGTCTCCCCGAAACAGCCTTTGCAGAGCTGGGAACTGGGGGTAATGGTGGGGATTGGGGGGGACATAAAGACATTTTTTGCCGTTGATGGTATTAGCATGTCAGCAGGTCTATACTAGCACAGCTCCGAAAGCCAAATTGCAGCTGTATTTTTACCTTTGCTGCCAGGTTTACACGCAGCTGGGTATCTACCACACCCTATTGTTATCAGTCAACAATACCAAAAAGTAGTTCATTAATCATATCAATAACAACAATCGTGTTTCATGTGGAAAATAGAAATAAACAACTTAAAAAAAAAAAAAAAAGAAAAGATTGATTTCTGCCCACTAACTTAGGGTTCTTTAAATATATCTGCCAGTAGTTTAATTCGAACTTCAACTCCCTGAAGGCAGTAAGACAGAATTATTTTAGTTCTTCATAAACTGCCTTCTGTGATTCATTGTTAACTCATAAAACACGCTCATTTTCATGTACTTAAACAGTTAAGCCATTTTTAAAGTTGGTTTGTAATTTTTTTTGGCAACACATTTAAGTTGACATCTGAGAGATAGAAATCTAAAATTAATTTATAGTCCTCAGTTTAGGTTTCATTTACTATCGGACAAAATATCAGAAATAAATATTTTTTTATCTAACGTAATGTAAAGTATATTGCACAGTATCTAAAATAAAGTTTAGTTTTGACTGAATACACTCAAAAAGGGACCCATAAATATTAGAGAGCTGTAGTTAAGAACTTACATGACTGTTTTAAATACTATTGATTTAAACCACTGGCTAGATTTTATGAATCAAAGTGTAATTTCCAAGCTTTGGCTATATTTCTCATCGCTAAAGCACTCTCTCTTGTGTGCCTTTAGCAGCTTTCCAGACATTCAACACGGGATTAAATGATAGTAGTTACAATGATCAATAGGTTAAGACCAGTACAATCACTCTTACCGCTAATGACCTCGGTAGTAATGGGTAATAAAGTGTGGGCTATAATAGCCTATTGCTGGTGCTGCATGCCCTTTGATTCCCAGTATTACTAGGGACTAGCTACATGAAAAAGTTGGACGTTGGGAGTTAAGAGAGTGGATATATAGGCCATCATTCTTAACTATTTAAAGTCCTCAAAACCGTACGTGTGCCCACGCTTGCCCGGGGCGCGTGTGTCATTTTTTAACACAGGAGTTTCTGGTTTATTTGAATTTTCTTTGTGAAAGGTTTCCGTAAGTTGCTTTTAGTGATCGGCTTGAAGGGTGAAGGTGGCTGTTGGCTGTGTTTATAAATGGAAAGCAGGACCTTCTCTAGAGACGCAGATGTGGTGTGAAAATGTGGTTTCAGATGGTAAAATGAAGTTGAACGGATCAACGCAGACTTGTACTCCTAGGTGTGCCGTATATATATATATAAAAAATTTTTTATATATTTTTTTTTTGTCTTGCTGGTGAAGTGCTTCTGTTCCAGCAAACCATGTGCAGCTAGGAGATTCTTCACCGGAAGGTACATGGCCAGTTTTCAAAGGCAGGGCCAAATCCTTAGATTTATCCCCAGATAAACGTGCAAAAAAGCCATGGAAGTGAATGGGAGTTGTCTCTTGGTAGCTGAGGGCAGAATGCGGCCCTTGGTATTAATCACCAATGTGTAGGGCTTACAGCACCCCACCCTATTCCTGTCTGTATCCCCGCTTGTCGTCATAAATCTGACTGAAGAGTATTTGTGTTGTCTGTCTTCCAAGAAGGGCACAGAAAACACACTTAAACATGCTTCCTCTCCTGTTTGCTCAGCCCGACTTCAATGAAAGGTAGTACAAAACCCCAGGGTAAAGTAAATTTCTCTGGGGATGAGAATAATGAAGGTGAGTCACGCTGCGGGGTGAAGGCAGTGACGGCGGTATTTAATTAAATAATTTTCGACTCCCAGAAAAGTTTTTGAAAGGCTGCGGATTAAGATAACTCTGGATTAATGGGATTACCCATCCCGATGAGTCAGTGTCCTCGGAGCCGGGCGATGGCACGGCGCGGGGGCTGTCCCCTCGGTGGGGGCAAGCGGCGCTGGCTTTGGGGGGACTGGCATTTGACCCCTCATTAAATCTTCATTTGGTTTGCCCTCCCCAGGCTTTGCTGGGGCATCGTCTGGCCCTGGCACCCGCCGTGTCTACACGACAGCGCGGGGAGACGGGGCCGTGTACGTGCCTCTGACCTTCAGGAACCATTTTTAGTTCATCAAAATTAGTGATGCTGAGAAATCAGGACATCAGTGCATAATGACTGTGAAATTAGGAATGAGAGCTTGCTATGCAAATGACAGGACAAATCATGTGAAAAAGTCAAGATAAACTGCATATTAAGACATTATGTTACATAAAATTAATACCGCATTTCTCTCTTGCTTACTACTACACTGGAAGGCTTTTTTTTTTTAAACTCCTTTATCTTCTGATCAGCTATTGTCTGCTGATTTTTTAAAAAGTGGTGCACAGAAAAAGTGCTAAACATATTATTACCTTTTATTGTAATACAGGAGATGACAGGAGATCCTTTTTAGCAAAGTATATCCTTTACTGCTTTTAGTTTTGTGCTGTCACCTATTTGATTTGAAACTATAGAAAAGTAAGGTGCTTAAATATTACTGTTAAAACTCATATGGGTTTTGTCTTTTCCTCTATTGTTTTTTTTTCTTTTCTTCCTTTTCTTTTCCTTTTTTGGGGTGGAGGGTAGAGGGGTGGGTTTCTAGGGAAATAGTCTTCTTGCATTACTAGGACTGACAAAATGGTTCTCATGTAGTCTGCAAATTAAACACAAGTGCAGTGATTATTTTGAATAGCTAAATTACATTCTAGAAAGCTTGCAGAATTCATAGCATTGTCATTAGGTATCCGCTTGAATACAATTTGTGTAACCTTGGCCAAGACAGCCTGTCATTTTAATGTCAGTGTTTTATCTGAACAAGACATCATCCTTTCAGATACAGTGTACAGGTTCCTTGCAAAGATGCCCGTGCAGAAACGTGTTAACAGTTGCAAATATGAAATGCTATCAAGTTCATCACTGTAGCTGTTTGTCACTGAAATGTCATGGAAAGCGGCTTTTAATGGTATCTCACATAATATGAAAGAATTGAAGACATCTGTATGCTGGGTGAATATGGAATGGTAAAGACATCGTGGTAGGGCCTTTCTGTTGAAATTGCCTAGGAGTCTAGTGCTGTTATTCACATCACTGAGCCTTCCTTCAATTTTCTTAAAAACCTGTCGTAATAGGGTCTAGATCCCATCAGCGCGGGATACCGGGCGGTTGGGTTTCTGTACGGAAGGCAAGGGCTTTCTGGGAGGGAAAGGGCTCGGTTGACGTTTTCATGTAAAAATAAATAAATCTTAACCGGGGTTTGCCATGTTGCTGGCTTTAAAGAATTCCCATCGTGACAATGTTTTGCAAAAGGGGGATTTTGTCGCCAGGAAGATGTGGTGGGTCCCCACGTGCCGGGGTTGGTCTCTTGCCTTTGGCACCTTGATGCCAGGGGTGGTGATGGTGGGTGATGCAGAGGGGCTGCCACCACGAGCTCTGACCCCTCTTTGCTCCTCTCTCCCGCTCCAGGTTCCAGTGTCGGTGGCTATGATGACACCTCAAGTGATCACTCCCCAGCAAATGCAGCAGATCCTCCAGCAACAAGTGCTAACTCCCCAGCAACTCCAAGTCCTGCTCCAACAGCAGCAGGCACTCATGCTTCAACAGGTAATTGTTTCCTTAACAGCTGCCCCGGTGGCCCCTAAAGATACCAAAGGGCTTCTCCTCCCAATGTGTCCCCCGGGGGAAAGATGCTCCCCACATCTCGGGTCTGAACCTCGGAACAGCCGCGCTTTTGAGATGAACTGACTGCTCTTTTGTTTTTAATTCTAGAAATAGCTTCTGGAAACAAATCCAGGGAGCAGTGCTAGGAGCGTTTCCAAGATCAGCTAAATAATGCAGATGCATATTTAAGTGTCAGGACTTCGGCAGATGTCCCTGTTGCTTTAGCCCGCGTCCCCCAGAAAGCATAGTGTGCCCTGACTAATGGGGATAAACACGGTCGTAGGGCGATAGTTCCCATTTTAGACCTCGTTATGTCCATCTGGAACCGTAAAGGACTGTGGAAACGGCGGCAATAAAAGCGGAGAGGTTGGCCAGCCTTAATTGGTTTGATTTCAGCCCACGTATGCCGTGCGGTGTGTCGGTGTTTCTCCCAGCCCGGGGTCCTTTTCCAGCCCCGAGGCTCCGGTAGCGGAGGATACGGCACCGCGGGGGCTCAGGAATCCCGGGTGGGTGTCAGTGTGTGTGTGTGTGTGTGTCCCCCTTCCTCCCCCAGCCCGACCTCTCCTGCTCCCTCCTGGCTGCCAGGCTCCCTCCTGCCCTGCGCCGAGCACATCTGGGGAGCGGAGAGGAGGAGAGTGTTTCCCAGGATGTCTGCGCGTGTATTGAACAACACTTAATACAGTCAAACCCTATCATTTAGAAAGCATGTGTGTTTCACAACAGAGATTCGCCAGGCTCTCTCAGCAAGGGCATTCTGGCTTTGTTGTTACAATCAAAGGTCATTCCTTGCCTTATTTTAATTAGTTTGTGTAGAAAATGGTATGTTTTTCATCAGTTCATTTTGGAGATTACTTTTCAAACGATAATGCCAAGAATAGTCAGTGTGCGCTGAATTTATTGTCGAGTTTCAAACTAAAGGTCAGACCATTACAGATAAAAGGATGCTATTTTTCAAATCACAGTTTGTGTGTTACACCAAAAGGGACACTGAATTGGCTCTCCACTTTGTTACTTACCATCTCTCCTTTTCTTTGTAGCAGCAGCTTCAAGAGTTTTATAAGAAACAACAGGAACAGTTGCAGCTTCAACTTTTACAGCAACAACATGCTGGAAAACAGCCTAAAGAGGTACAGACAATACCCATTTTACTTTCAAACCACAGATCCCCGGGGACTGTCTAGTGGCTATTAAACTGTCATTCATCTTATAAATGATTGCACAACTGAGCTGACTCTATCGGGTCTCAGCTTTCAGATTTAGAGTTATTGTCCTGTTTTCGCCTGTATTTTCCTGTGCTTTCCATTTGCTTGCTGCCACATATTTTATAGCAGGGGACCATGCCTTGATGTTCCGCGTGAGTACTGGAGCAACCATCCAGACTTGTATCTTGGGAGAGTGCTTTTGGAAGTTAGTTATGTTGTAAAGGGGAGGGGGCAAGGCAGCAGGCCCAGCTGCTCTCCTCTCTAAACACTGCAACGTGCCGAGAGATGTTGGGTTTGGGCTTGTGGTTTCCAGCTGGAGATGTCCTGGTTGCATGTTCCTGATGGCACGGGGCTCAGCAGGAGGGACCATGCATCGGTGGTGACACCGAGAAGGGAGGTCTGGGGGGCAGAGGCAGCACAGGAACGCTGGCCGTTCTTGGCATGGTGGCAGAAGACCTCAGTGTGATGCCACCACGATCCACGGCAGGAGCAGGACAGGCCAGGGTGGTTTCTGCCTCTCCTTTAAACACCCTTTCTTCAAAATACCCGTCAACATCTTCAACTTCTGTTGATTTTGGTGCGCTTAAATTTAATTCTGCTGTGATTGCGTTTGTTTTTAAGGCACCGAGCTTCTTCCC